CAAGCATAGGATTTTTTTTGCACACTCTTATACACATATATACACATCGAGCAGTTCGATAAGAACTGGTCAATAACGTAACTTGATTTCTTTCATATACATACAACAACGGTTTGGTTGATGAAAATTATACAATAGCATCGACTAGTAATAACATGACATCTTCAATGTCTTCTATTATTCATTATCATTTATTATCCTCTGATATTAATGAAAATGAAATTATCGACCAACATCACGACATAGAAAATAATAAATATTTATTTTGCTCATTATCAACTCCAACAATAATAAATAGCAATGAGTTAATAAATAAATCGAATAGGTGAGAGTAATATTTATCAATTTGTATATAATACTAAACAAATGAGAAGAAAAGATGAATATTTGTAACTTAAGTTTTTATAGTTAGTTTTATATGTATACATAAGATGTTCTAATTGTGCTATGTATTGATATAATAGTATGTATTGACAGATGATGGAACAGGAAAACAACAACAACAAAAAAAAATAGCAGCTGGATATACGCAGTAATATTATTACTACTATTAGAGAAAATGACGAAATAATAATCACTCGTTTGTATTTACTATTGTTTCCTCTTCACTATCAGTTCTTTTATTAATATATAAAAGTATCGAATGTCAATAATAATCTATATGGAATTCATAATTTAATAGTTATATTTCTGCGTATACATGAACTATTTTCGATGCAATATACATATTACATAAATGAGAAAAACATATATTTGTTGATGATAAAGTATCACTGTCAAAAGCATAATTTTCCATTAGTTTTCTGTCATTTTCACATCGAAAAACATATTTACCTACTTTTTTTTTGCCCACATAGTAATAAATAAGATCTAGCTTCTTTTTTTTTCTCTATCGATAAACTCAACACTTTACACTTAATCAGATTCGATTTCATTCAATAAAATTAATCTTATTTTTTTTTTTACTTTTGTGCATTTTTCATCTTGACTAATCACAATAGAAATGCGCAAGCTGTCTTTCATGAATAGATCAGTAAAATTCTTCATTTATGTCATGATACATAATCGACTTCGTTTCTTGATCGTCTATCAAAGAAAAAAAAAATAATTACAATAATCATTTCTTTATCTTTCTTCTTTCATTACTATTGATGGAACATATTTAGAAATTTTTTTTCTTTTTTTCTTCATTTCGAATTGAATAATATTTTGTTGTCTTATAGTAAATTTATTATCTTGCATCTAGTGATTGAAAAATAATTATTAATGTCATCTTGTATTTCAAATTTATTTGAGTTTGTCATCATATGATAGAAATATAGAATTCAATTCTTTTTGTATTTTCTTTTGTATAGAAATATTATTTTTCTATTTCTTACACAATGTCTCTCTTAACGCTTCCTTTTAGTCGTTCTCATATTTTTTCTATTGACACTATTCAAATAAATAACAGAACAACTGAAGTATACCACTTCTTTCTTCGCAATTTTCTGTTGTTTGAATACGCTTATTATACAGCTTACACATAAGTGAACATTTCTATTCAAAAGAAGCAAATGGCTGACAGTAATGATGAACAACAAATTGAATTTGCAATGTCAACGATAAGGCATAAAAAACGACTTAAGTCACAAGTACAATTACCTTCAACCGCTTTAATTGTTCGACAATTACCTGGAGGCAATGTAACAGTAACACCTGTAAGAAAGAGACGAGCGGTATCGGAACAAATCAATCAACATGATCGGTAGATAAGGAAAATAGTTTTCATATCATAAATCAAAAAAAAAAGAGAAAAAAAAGATATTGCCTTGTGGAAAGAATTATTGATTTATTCTTTTTTTTTAATTTTAGTGTAATGCAATTGAATACTAGTCCAGTTTTAGCAGCAGCTGCTGCTCCAGCAGTACATAAAGATAATTGGCAACAAAGACGTTATAATTTTTTAAGTAAATATAGTATGTTCGGTGGAGAATTAAAAGATGATGTGGCCGATCAAATTAGTGTCAATGAACAAGGTACTGATGTTGAACAAAGGTAGCAAAAATTGTTTTTATTATTAATTTAATAAATATCTTATTTTAATTATTAACAGACCTATTATTTCAACATCACAAAATCTCACATCTGGTAGTATGGATTCTGAAGCATTAAATGCTAAACGTGGATCAATTTTGGGTATGGCTGTAACTGGTGTTCGTAATTTACTTTCTGTAAGTTATCAGAAAGTTATTATTCTTTTAATGTAATTACATCTTGTTTCAAGGTAGATGAGATGTCACGTACGAAATCAATACGTGCATCAACATCATTTGATGAGGTAGACACATGATTTAAATGTGTGTCTTTTATATATGCACGTAAAATTGCTTGCATTAAGAAAAAAGCACTTGGCCGATCATTGAAACCCTTTCCTTTGCTTTTTGCTGTTGCTTTGTTTTTCTTCTTTTTCTTTTTCTTTTTATTTTTGTATGTTTATTTTGAATGAAAATAAATGTTTGCTTTTTTTTTGTTTGTTTTGAGTATAGGAACAGGATCAAGATGAACAAGCAGATGAATCTAGTATTGGTTTGAAAAATATTATATTAACAAATAAAAGTAGTCAACAAGATCTAACAACAACAGAACCTATTGGAGTTAATGAACATGATCGTATAGAGACAGATCTTTGGTAAAATAAGAAATATTTAAAAAAAAAATTTATTCATTTATGTTTTTTTCTTTTATTATTAGTGTTCAAAATACACAAACTGATAATGATCGTGTTCCAACTCCGACTATTGTTACTTCAAAAAATAATATTTCTACGAATCATCCACGATTACATTGTAATTATTTCTTTTTTTTTCTTTTTGTTTTCGAAATAAATTTCGTATGTTATAGCTTTTGTTAAAAATCGTCGACTTAGTGCAATTTTTTCTCGTTCTAAACGTCAATCAATAAAACAACAACATCAAAAATTAGCGGAAATTCGTGAATCTTATCGTTCACATCGCCCTTATTTTACATATTGGGTAACATCTGTTCAAATTCTTGTTTGTATAATTTCATTAATTGTTTATGGTCATGCTCCATTATCATCAACTCAATCTGTAATTATTCAAAATTCATTTCTTTCTTTTTTTTTTGTATACAGTAAAAAAAAACCTATTCTAGAAAAATTCTTCTATATTTAAACAACAAAAATTTGATTTAACAATGAATCCATGGTTTGGTCCATATCCAGATGATTTAATTCGACTAGGAGCAAAATATACACCATGTATTCGTGTACATGATGAAGTTAAAAGTCGATATGAAAAACAAGCAAGATTAGAAGCTATGTCTGGTTGTTGTATTCATTCAATAACTGGACGTTGTATGCAAACGTTATCTCAACAATGTCTTGTACGAATTACTAAATTGTCAAACTTTAAACATATATTGTCTGTTTATTTATTTTTTCTATAGTCACGATCAGGTTTAACATGGCATCGAATACCATTCAAAAGTAAAAATCTTAAAGATCAAAATAATATTATTTATCCGGCTGTGTGTGGACTTACACCAGAGTAATTAAAATATTGAATTTTATTCTTTTTTATGAATTTATATTTTCAGAACATGTATAAAAAAATTAAGTGGTAATACACCTCGAGAAGATGATAGTTCATGGTCATTGACATTTGTTAATTCAAAAATTTTGAAATGGTCTCCAAATGCTGTTAAATGGCCGGTAGATAATCAATAAGTTAAAAGAGAAAAAGAAATTTATTTAAATCTTTTAGATTTGTCTCAAACAAGACCGTAGTCGAATTGCTAATAATATATCTCTTTATCCACATATGCAATGTACAAATATAGGTAGATTTTAAAAGAAATTTTACTTTTTAAAAAATATATTTTAATATTGTTTTTTAGCGAGACCATGTTGTACAGGTGTACTTGGAGATTGTATATTGACATCAAGAGATGATTGTCATCGTCGACGAGGAGTTTATCATCCACGAGCTCATTTATGTTCTCAAGTGAGATATAATTTACGATAATTAAAAAAAAAGAAAAGTTTTTGCATTTAGGTCGATTGTATTCAAAAAGTTTGTGGTATGCTGGAGTTTTTTGTTGGTAAAGAAGCAAAATCTTTTTTTTTTTATATCAATTCATTGTTTGATTCGTTTTTATTTTTAGCTCGTTTACCTGATCAAGTCTATCGATTTTGGACAGCTATCTTTATTCATGCTGGGTAGAAATTCTATTTTTAAATTAATAAAACAAAAAAAAGAAATCTTATTTTTCTTTTATTTAGTATAATTCATTTATTAATAACAGTTATATTTCAATATACAATAATGCGTCCATTAGAAAAATTAGCTGGTTGTATACGAGTAATGATAATTTATATTGTATCAGGTTTTGTTGGAAGTTTAGCTAGTGCATTATTTTTACGTGATTCAGTTCAAGTTGGACCTGGTGGTGGACAATTTGCAATACTTGCTTGTTATCTTAGTGAATTATTTCTTGCTTGGCGTTCATTAAAAAGACCATGGATACCATTTTTTAAAATAATTATATGTCTTTTCTTATTATTTACGGTTGGTTTATTACCCTTAGTTGATAATTATTCTCAATGTTTTGGTTTTCTTATTGGTTTTATGCTAAATATGATTGTTTTTCCAGATGTTAGTTTTAAAAAAAATGTTCGTCGTCTTGTTGTTATAACAACAGCATTAGCAACAACAATTGCATTATTTATTGTATTAATTACATTATTTTATACAATACCATTTGAATGTACATCATGTCAATTATTGAATTGTCCATTAGGAGAATCTTGTAGAAATGAAAAATACGATTTAATCTAAATAGAACTTGTGTTTGTTTTTGATTCTAAAATGAATGTTTTTGTCAGATATGAAATTTATCAGAGTTTCTGCTTGTTTATTATACTTATCGGCAGGTCCGCTATTATTTAGTTTTCTTTTTTTCTTTTAAACATAATAGAACAGTTGTGTGCTTCTCTATCAATTTATATGTTCAATTATAATGACTATAAAGAAAAAGAAAATGTATTCAATTTAATGGAGAAAATGATTATTATGTCACAGCTGGTCATAAAGTGTGTTCATCCGATTCATGTACACCATTGATTTAGACGCGACGTACAGCATATGTTATTTTATATCACATTTATTTCCTGCTGTGCTTTAATAAAAGTTCAACTATATACATTAGTGTTAGAGGTAGTCATAATTTTGTTTGAGAAAAGTTCATCAAAGAATGCTCGATCATATTTATTTCTATTCACTCCAAACCTTATTCTTTTTTCATTTATTTCTTAATATCGTCATATTAAAAAGATGCGTACGTGAAGAATGAATTACAAATAACAACAATGAGAGAATGATAAAAAAAAAGAAAAAGAAAAACCGCATAATGTCAATGATAAATATACATATTATAGAAAACTTGTGACAAGAATAACAACAAAATCGTGATGGAATTGACACACAGTATAAATGATGCAGAAATAGGTTTAATATTATTTGTATGTATGAACTGTTCGATAGCCTTGGCAATTCGCACTGCTTCCAGTTTAAGTGTATGCGTCCTTAAACGTTCGATTGGATATGAAAACAAAATTGCATTAAATCGTTGATCAGCATGCATACGCGTGGAATGAGTTGATAAACGATATTTAATTTGTCGTTGATGCTCCAGTGGGATAACATATTGAAATCCATTGTGATGTAAAAAAAAACCAAATGAATTATTTCCTTTGATAACACTAGGACCAGAACGTGAAACTAGTTCAGTTATTGTTGATTGAGCTGGTTTACTAATCATTGATGATTGATTTGGTTCAAAACCATAACCAAGTTGTACTGTTTGTGAATTTTTATGAAAAACAAATTCAATAAAAAGACCACGTGCTGGTGGACGTATAGCTTCTTTAGACATAGCTATAAATCGGTGATAATCAATATAGACACGAGTAGAACTTTCGAGTAAAAATGTTCCAGTAAGTAGATCTTCTGCTGGATCAACATATTGACGAGTAAGTTTATTTAAAATAGTAAATGGACGATGCGTTGATGAAAATGCTTCAGCTATAGCTTTAGTTAATGAATACATGGATGATGTTGAACTACGATCCCTAATGCATCGTGCATCAGGATGAAAAGAAATTTTGTCACCATCATCACTATCCGATCTTAAACAGTCTCGTAATGTATATACACAACGATCTAATGTATTGTTATAACAACCACCAATAGGTAATTGCACTAGCGGTTCTGTTGAAATTGCATTAGCCGATGTTTTTCCTGCTTTTTTTGATGTAAACTCAGCGCCAAGGAAACCACCATGTGGTGATGATAGTATCACATTTGTTGATAGACCACCACGACTAAATTCAACTAATGATAAATAACTTTGTTCATCCGAATATTGACAAAAACACATAAAATTGGTAATGAATAGAAAATGTACGATAAGTAATCTTGTATCGAAATGCATTTACATGAAACTACAAGAATTCATTTTCTTATCAACATTTGCAAGTTACTTAAAAAAAAACAGATTCATAAATGTATTATTTCAATAATGCTTGTGGTTTCTTTCTCAACTTACAATTATAGTGGCAGCACATGGTAGAAAAAAAAAGAGAAAATATTATCTCGGCGTCTTTCCTCAGTCGAGAAGGCGAGAGAAAAATAGCTTTTTTTTTGTCGTCTGATAGATTTGTTGTTGATAAAATGAGACGAGGAAACAACGAATATTTTTGCGCTTCTTCTTTTGCAAACTAAGTACCTTTTTTTTTTTTTGATTTACTATGAATAAAGAATAAAAAGAAAGAGAGAAAGAACGAAGAAGAGAAAGAAAGAAAGAAAAAAAAATGAGTTGGCATGCACATAACTAGCAGTCAAGTGTTAGTATCTTTATAGAAGATCAAGGTCGACAAGCGCCCGAATAATTGTTTCGATAGACATTATGTCCTTCGTAATAATCCTCAAAAGAAATCATTCTTGCAGCAATAAAATTATTCATAATTCACAGAGAATCTGCTTTTTATTAGACTATCTTCTCATAATTCCTAGAATCAGACATATTCTTTATTGATATCAATATTTTTTCGTACGTTTGTGTGAATTGTGACTATCTATCGATGTCAACCAGAAAAAAACGAAAGAGGAGAGAAAACGGATGATATCGTGTCATCCTTAACACAGATATAGAATTTGACTAAGATCATCAATCTCTTGAAGACGTCAGTTTTTTTATGTATACTACAAATGAATTATAGATGATGTTATCTGTTGAGTTGCCATAACTGACCAATAGAATGATTAATTCATAAAATACTATGTAGATATATCAACCTTGGTGGCAAATGATATTAATGATATTACAAGAGCTAATTGACATTAAGAGATTTATAAGTTGCAAACTGTTTGTTTGCATAAAGATGTCTTGCTTATTTTATTCCAGTATAATTGCTACGGTTAATGTCAAGCTCTTATAATTTGCTGATCAATACGATCATTGATAATCATGAATGCAATTATAGTTAGTTCAAGAAATAGTATTCAATCGTCTAACACATATATACATCACTTATCAGAGACTATTGCATCATTATTTCCTTTTGAATAGAGAACTATACTTTTCAATTAACTTTTTTATCATTGATAATAAGCGTTTCTTATGCCTCATTAAAACAAAGCTATTTGTACAAATCTTATCTTTGTTGCACTTATATTGATACCTGTTTGTATTTCTTTACATACATTCAATATAAAATAATAATAAATCGCATAAAACATAATGTCAAGCATCAGTGTTAAGTGGAGTCATTATGTTTTATTAAATGAAACATTAACAAAAAAAAAAAAAATGAAATTTATACTCTTGTATTTGATCAGGAAAAAAAGTTTGTAATATTTCGATAAGAAAATCAGTAACCTATCATTAACAATCGATGAAATGAATAAATCATATAAAATACAAGTTCGTTGAAGAAATACAAGATTTGATGAAAAGAATCCATATTCATAGATCAGTCAATAAACATTCTTTGCATTTCTTTTTGTATCAATCTCTGAGTAATAATTACTAGGCAAACATTTTCATTTCAGTAAGCGAGACAGAAAGAGAGAGAACTTATCAATATCAAGAGTGATGATGTAATAAAAATGTTTTATTCGAATTATTTAAAAATCAACTCACGTCAGATGATGTTGATTACTTTCTTTTGTTTAAATAGACAAGTTGAAGGATAAATTCTATTCATTTCAAAATCATAACTATAAGTATGAATATCTATGCATCAATGTAATATTACTGATCATGTTCGATACTATTATTTTTAGATTACGGGAAACTTAACATAGCATAAAAACACTTCTGCACAGATAAGATTCAATTTATTCAAGACATATTTAAGTTTGATTTCTTTACGATACGATCATAATCAGCACATATTTATTAGTCTTTATTTCAATATTTGGTCATCATAAAAAAAAACTAACACCCCCGCCCAAAATAAAGGGGGGGGGGGGGGTTGCTGTAAGCTTTCTGATACTGTATAAGACAAAATTATTTTAAAACCTATCATCTTCGCAAACAATTCAAAAATATATATGACACGATGTTCCATTTCAAGAAAATTTTGATAGAAACTCAGAAAATTTGCTACGAGCTAACAGAATCCTTTAGAATTTGACTGAATACCTATGCAATTTGGTTTGCTCAACATTGAAACGTGGAAAGATAATCACATGAATTATGCCATGAGCTATAGATCTGAAGTTGTTCTATCTAAAACACATGTCAAAATGAAAATTACATCGAAATAGAATACTGTTTTCATGCATTTTTTTGGATGTTTTGCAAAGATAATAGATTTTAAAATAATTTTTTCTTATATAATATCAGACAAAAAGACATCCAAAATTTTCCTGTTTTGATTGCTGAAAATAGAAAGCCACTAACTGTTGTCGTTGTCAAATTATTGAGCTCACAAACACTTCTCTTTAATTTTGATGCGGACATTAGTCATAGATATGGTTCATTGTCATTTTTAATATTTTTACTAACAAAAAATTTACGTATTGTATATTCTCAGATATATATATAGCTTGATTTGAATATGTCATGGATAGATGCTGTATTGTTTATTTTAGATCATATATCGTCATTATTGAGCTTTATATATTCAATCTTATAATACACTTTCGATAATTTAATTCATCATCAAGATAGATATGTTTGATCTTGATAATGAATGCCATTGAAGTCAGTTAAACTTAGTGTTTGATCAGGAAATTCAATAACAATTTACATATCGATCAGGAATGATAATTATTCGAGTAACTGATCAAGATTCACATTACATAAAAAGTAAGTGTAAGATCAACAAAACATTAATAATAAACTATTATATTATATATGTTGTCCATTTGAAGAAACTTTGTTTTTAAAATAAGATATTTTTTTAGTTATGAACAATAATTGATCTACTCAGACATGACGAGATCACTGTCATTAATGGATCGTCTTTGTGAAAATGAAAAAAAGACGTCTTTAAAGATAGCTTTCTGAAAGATTCAGACATCGATAATGAAATGATACCTTAGATGCGACTGATTTTTCTAATATTTTATAAAAAAAGAATCGATGAATTTCGTAATATTTCAAATTTGTCAACCAAATTACGCAAGAGACTAAAGCGTTTTTATTATTTTTTTATTCAATTTTTGTTTTTTTAAAAATAATCAATTTCATATTTTGTAGTTGAAGTTCATTTAATTAAATGAAATGAAAAAATATTTCAAATATTTTTTATCAGGTATATCATGAATTAAATTTGAAGAATTTTTTTTATATCAGCAAAACATGACTTGAATCAGTCATAAATCACCATCATTTTTCAATTGTACTATTGTAATAAAACAGATCAATTTAAATAATATTATTTACGTCCTGGTGTATCAGAATCTTATCTATATTTAATATTTATATTATATTTGTTTAAATAGATATTTTAGTTATCTTAAGCAACATAAGAGAAAATCAATTCGATTTTTTGGCACACGTAATACAAGGACTGCTTATATCATTTGTTGTTCGATAAAAATTATTCTCACATACGCAACCTTCTGAACAAATTAGTGTTGGACAAGAAGGACGATTTTTCCACGAACATGATGGTTGACATGGACTAGCACATGATGCTAACTTTTCGTTTGTGCCACAAGCCTCTGTGAACGAAAAAATTAATAATCAAGGAGAAATAAGTTTTGAGTGAATACTTTTCTTGTTACAGTTGACACATGAACTACTCGTTTGATTGGTAGCACGGAGATATCCCTTCGCACATTCACATCCCTGTGAACAAGCAAATGTAGGACATTTCGGTCGATTAGTCCATGAGCAAGAAGGTTGGCATGGTTCAACACAATTCACCAATATTTCATTTTCTCCACACTTAGTTTGTTTGGCTACTAAGAATAGTTTAAATTAAACTCACTGAGATTTTCTAAAGAAAATAGCTACCTTCATTTTGTGTCAAAACAGCAAACACTAGAGTAGAAATCGAAATAACCAAAAAAAATCGAATCATTTATCGTAGATTCAAATTTGAATGGTATAGATGTATATCGATCTTATTACGTATACAAGAAATAAAAAATGCATCGTCAGATTTCTCTATTAAAATGAAGTATACAGAAAAGAAAAAGAACGAAAAAGAAATTACAAATGAATTCAAAGCAACTATTCAAAAATACTATTTTATAGAATAATAAATAGAGTATAATAGAATTTTTTCTTTTTATAGTTTTGTTGACGTGGGTAGTTAATGATGATTTGAATGCAATTACCATTTCCAGGAGTAATAGCATCAGCTGACATCTCCATAAAAAAACATCTACAACCATTCCATTCCGTGCAAATGTATATTGAATTGAACTATTTCTCATCAAGTATAACTATTATCGATATAATAGAATAGTCTCTCGGTGAATATCCAGAATTGTTTCATGTTCTAGTTTTTATCATGATTAATCAATGTATTTGAAAAAGATTTGCTTTAAGATAGAAAAACATCAACAAAAAATATAACGAATCCTTCGTATTATAATGCAAATTAAGTTGCGTATTTCTGCAAGAGAATATCGGATGACAGTGTAAGTAACCCAAACCATCTGAATGTATTAGTAATTAAGTCATTCATAGTGGAATTCGGGATATCGATTACTGGCTCAACAAAACATTCAGTGATGATTGAACAAAACCATTCATCATACATTGAAATATGTTTATAAACAGCAACTGAATCAATATAGGAACAGTATTTCATAATTGGCCATGTCAATGATAACACATCAGCGTTTATTCGACACAAAATACAGTAGAAAATCATCTCCATCAACTTTACATACATTTTATTAAATAATATAAACAAATTTTAAATTATTATGTGATCGAATATATATTATGAAAACTTGCAATCATTCTCGTACTTTTTCTATAGCCTTCCACATCAACACAAAACTGTTGCTGATGTTCATTAATCTCATTACTGTACATCTGTTGATTTACAGGTCATGCATTTACTATTACCTATCGTAGTCGTAATTCGAATGATATTTTTGTGCTTGCTGAAGAGACTGTATTCCATCCATTAGCTATCAAAACTATAATAACAAACCAGACGTGTCTATGGTGGTACAGCAACGATAGATTTTTTAAACAGCCAACACAACACAACTATGGTACCTAGTTTAAACCGCATTGCAAAGCTTCATGAACTTGTAGCGTATTCCAGTATTCACAAATGAAAATGCTGGCATGGAACAAATCTTTTGGATTAATGACAACAGTGTTTGTCGACTACAGTGATATCTGTGGTTTTCAAAACATTTGGAGTGTCATGACGAAAACTTAGTCGAACAGTAATATCTTTGAGATTCATTTTTGGATTGCATTGAAGATAGTGAAAGATATGAAAAATAAAAGACATTTGAACTATCAATGATTCTGGTCGTGACGACGACTTTGTATCGACAATTAACTCCATATTTCGAATAATAACTGTAATATTATTAAGACTATGAGTGATAGTAATAGTATTCAAAAGAGAAAGAGTTGCCTCATCACAAAAGGAGCTTCCAGTCTGACATGCACAGAGATTGAGAAGTCGTTGACAAAGTTGAGCTCTTTCTCTTTCAAGAACTTCCAAGACTTTTATAGCGAACTATTCAGCTTGTTCTTATCTAGCCGTTTCTACAACCAAACAGCTAAATGACACCAAACTGAATAGTTCACCATAACAATTTCGGAAGTTCTTGAAAAAGAAAGAGCCCATCTTTGCCAGAGACTCCTTAATCTCTATACATGCCTACTTCCAGTGTTTCATTGTAACAATGCTTCCTATTCCAACTTGTTGCAACTGCTGACTCACTACCAATGATCAAAAGTCAAAAGTTGTCTATTAAATTGATTGAGAAGGGAACATAACAACTTAAGGAAGATGTTTTCATCGTTTTTCATAAAGTCTCATTTTTTATTTTGATGTCCTTCCGACATATATATTTAAAGTAAATATTCTGCGTATAGTATAAGTATTATATTTTGTTTTGACATCATATATTTTTTCAACATTAATTATTTTGTTTTCGTTCTTTAAAACAACAACAACAAAGATAAATATTTTTTTTAAAATAAAAATAAAAACAAAACACGATTATGTGAAAAGTTTTATCATCATACTAATCAGTAAAACAAATATTGTAATGAGTAAAACGACAAGTATTGTATTTCCAGTACCAAAATTTTTTTCAATCATTGTAACAAAATTTTGATATATGCTCTTTCGAATTGTAGATGTTTCTTGATTACTATGTTGATTTATATTAGTATTGAATTGTTTTAATCTTTCATCATTTGTTATTTCAGGTGGAAATTCTTCAGCAGCTTCTAAATCTTCTTCCATAACTGATATTATTTTAAAATTTTCTTGTAATGAATCAATAACTGTTGATAATGGTTCATGAATAAGTTGATATGCAGAAATAAAAACAGGTCGATTAATATAAATACGACGTGGTAAGATTAATTTATTTATTAAAATATTTTCATTATTATTTGATTCATTATTAATAAGGACTAAATTTAAACGAATAAGAATTGAACGAAAAAGATCTTCAATAAAATATTGTCGTATATCATTTCCTGTTGTTTCGGAATAACATGTAAAAAATCGAAGACTTGCACTTCCATCAAATTTATAACAAATACGATTTTCATTCGGATATACATCTGATATTGTAGAATCAATTGGTGATAACCATTGAATATCAACAGAATTTTGACTTGTTTTTGATGATAATTTTAAACTATCTAATGGTAGTAAACGATCATCCATTAATAAAAGACTTTCCTAAATATTTCAAAAATTAAACAATAATTCATTCTAATACATTCAATAAATAACATCAATGATAAACAAAATAATTCAATAGAGTGTACTCTCATCAAAGGGATGACAAAGTCATAGTTTCAGCTAATAAATCATTTTTGATTTGAGACTGCATGCATAAGGTAGATCACAGTGAGATAGGAAATATTTCAAAACGATAACTGCTCTTAGATCTTCCTTCCAGAGTTATAGCCATTTTACTGGAATTTTAGGCTACGGTACGGTATGTATCAACAAAATGAATGACAGTATTTTGTCCATAGATACATCTACTCGTGACTAGAATATTCTGAAATTTCAGCTCGAAAGAATGTTTCTTTCACGAGATATTGAATTTTCAAAAAATCTGAGATTCTCATATCATTTGCAGGATATGAGTGATTTTTGAAAATTCAATGTCTTACCAAGGAAATATTGTTTTCAGCTAGAATTTTCAGGACATTCTAGTCATAAGTAAATCTATCTGTGGGTCAAATATCGTCATTCAATTTGTTGGTAAATAACATCCCATAGTCTAAAATCCCGGTAAAATGGCTTTAACTCTGAAAGAAAGGTCTAAGAGCATTTCTTCTCTTGGAAGGTTTCATATCTCAATGGCATCTACCTTATGCATAGAGTCCGAGTGCAAGAACGATTTATCACTTAAAACAATTCCTTTGTTAATTGTTAAGGACAATATATATCCTCATAAAAGACTTTAACTTGATTTCATAGAAATTCAAAATTATTTTGTAGTGCATTTTATGCATTGAATTCAATTTACTTTAAGATTATCTATATATTGTTTCCATTGTTGTTCAAATTGATTTTCAATTAATTTAATATTATTATCATTATTATTTGTTACTGGATTAAGCCATAAATTAAATTGTATTGGAATAGTTGTTGTCATACACCAAATAGGATTTACTTTACTATCATAAGTTTTCATTTCAACAGGTCGAAAATGAACACTCTCAGAATTCATATCCATTGTTTTAACTAACCATTTATTTGCTCCACTACCAAGTTCTGATTGTAATAATATTCTATGTGATGATTGTGCTAAACTCCATGATGAATATAGACGTAATGCACTTTGAAGAATTTCAAATAAACGTCGAATTTTTAATGTAAAATTTGTTGATTTTAATAGATCATTTTTTGCGCGACAATAAAAACCAATAATCGATACACCAGCACATAATGATGATGTTATTTCAATAATTTTAGCCCATAATTCTTTATTTGTTGATGATGAATCAAAAAATGAATTAATATCAGTTTGTTTTGATGTAATACCATCAATTATATAATGAATATAATCACGTTCAAATTTAGTACATTGACCACAAATAAAACCAAAAGAAAATCGATTTGTTGGAAGAGAATCTAATTGAGATGTTATTACATCTGTTTCAATAAAAACAGTTCGACCCATTGTCAATTAACAAAAAAATTATCTAAAAAATTTGAAAGAATTTTTTCTTTATTTATATACACACACATATATATATATATTTCTATATAAATCTGACAACAATTAAGAAAAAAATGAAGAAAGACTTTCATTATTTGTTTCTTGTTGTAAATTAGTATTATCATCTGATTGAAAAAGATCATCGTCATCATCATCATCATCATCATTAATATTCATTGCATTCGTTGAATTTTGTAATGTTCGATTTGTTAAATCTTGTTCAGTTTCCGATGTAATTCGTCGTATTTTTGGTGGCATATTTAAGTCAAATTTACACATTTGAATATGTTTTTTAAGTAATTCACTTTTAGATTTAAGTTCATTATCAAGTCTTTCAAGTTCCGAACGTTGATCATCAATTGTTGTATCAATACCTTCAACTCGTGATATCATATCATGACATGATTCAAATTGTTTTCGAAGTTCATCTAATTTTACTTTTAATTCACTTGGATTTTTTTCAAAACTTAAACGAAAAAAAAAACAAAACAAAAATTTATTATTTTAATATAATTTAATATTATACCTTTTAAGAATATCACTAAGACGAGGTAAAAAAAGAAATAAATCTTCATCAAAAGTTACTGAAGTTTTTGTTATTGTATTTGAAGATGCTGTAGTTGGAGCATCAGCTGAATAATTAATTGGTTGTTGTTGTGATTGATTTGAAGAAGAAGCCATCTAAATTATTAATTGAATAAATACAATTAACTTTATGATTTTATCTTATGCATTGAAAAGACAACAATGAAACATTTATTATTTCTTTATGTTAAAACAAGAATAATAAAAACAAAAAAAAAACATATGAAAGATTTTTGAATGTTCTTATTAGTTTGGATGTTTTGTTGTCTTTGTAAAATAAATCTATTTGCTACGTTCACGCATACGACGACGTTTACGTTTCAAACGACGCATACGTTTCTTACGCCACTATAAATAAAATAAATACTTTTTAAAAAAAATTTTTATGGAAGAAAAATTTATTTTACCTTAGCTCGCATATCCTATGTTAATGACGAAGAATGAAAAATAAATTTTAATATGTGAATAAAAGAAAAAATATATATCTATTTACCTTTTAATAAATATAAAGGTATTAAAGTGACCAATATGGTAATGAATATAATAAAATGATCGTATGTTATTCTTCCCAAACACAACGTTGCCTCAAATTCTGAATGGTACATAAGAAAACCAGTAGATTCTGATATTTGAAATTAGAGTGATAGAGAACTTTCGAAATTTATTTGTTTAAATAATTCAAGAAGTATCTAGTAGATTGCAAACAAATTTTCTTTCAAAATATTGAAGAAAGAAAAAAAACATTCATTTCATCAATGAAGTCAGATGTCGCATACGTACTGTAATAAGCAAATAAATTTGATAAATGTTCACAATTCTACAATCATTCCACTACAGTATTGAAGATTATGTAGACTTGAGATTTTTAATCTTACTCCTATCGGTCTGAAATTCATTTCATAATCTCTACGCATGAAACGTAAATAATTTAAAAAAAAACTCTATCAGTCAACGAATAATATTAAATAAAAGAATATTTGTCAAAAACAGTAAGAATCTAACTACATTTCTTTTGTCCCAGTTCTGACGACTTTGAGTTAAGAATGCTATACAATCGATGATCGGATCATGACAATCACGAGGTCAATGTATAGAAAAGAAAGACAAAATATCGCTTGATTTTTTTAGCAGATTATCTTCTCAATAATGTCAAACATTATCCAGAAAAAATACAATTTGAATGGATTATCGAATTTGACCATTGAAGAACTTTAGATACGATTAGGATTATCTTGGATAGTCGTTACAAAATATTTTTTAAAAAAAAATGAATTGTGCTCATATACATTGAAGTAATGCTTTTATAGAACACGGAAAAGAATAATTTAGATACAAGATATGTTATTTAATTGAAAATTTTCCTTGTCATTTTACAAGAGATATCATCATATCATGCCAAGTATAAACCTAAACATGAATCTTCCTTTTATTTAAGTTGCCATGATCGTTTTCGTGATTGTACTTGATTGGATTCAATTAAGTTGATCATACTATGGCTTAAAGGACACAAAATATCACGATCATGGTTGATAATAACTTTATTTTCACTAAATAATTTAAATGTTTTAGAATCTTGATGATTGAAAGTGGTTCGAAATAAAAAGTCCAGCATAAATGGAATGTTTAGCTCTACTAAAAACAAAAGCATCATCAAATGTTAATGAACATTGCTAAAGACAACTTTTAAGATTAACTGAGTTCTCTTGATTACGTTTAGCATCTTTAAGTTTATCTTAAAAGTATCATTTTTGCGTATTAATTTTATTGATTAGTATAGAATGTCAAGAGACTGAAGTTAGCTTACTATCCAAAACGACTACCACATGTAGCAAAAATTTACCAAATTTTTTTCTTTTACAAATATTCCATTGAAAAAAATAACAGTTGTTTCCAATATTCCTGTCAATAGATACGGAATTCAAATCTCTACAAACTTTTGCTAGTTTTAATTCAGCATGATGGAACAAAATAAATGTATAGACTGCTTTATGTCATTCACTGAATAGCATCTACTTTCTCTATCAACGGTTTTCATATTTTCAAGGCTCTTTTTAAGTCCAAAGTAGTTATTGAATAGGCTTCACACTTGTAATTGAGTTCCACAATAAATGCATTTTCCGAATTATCTTTAAATGTTTGATGACAATTTATATTTCCATAATAGGAATGCATTGTCTAAACGTGCGTTACAAAAACAACGTTATTCACCGATAATTCAAATGTATTTTTCTAGCTGATTCGCTTTCCAAAGTATTATTTAGGTTTCAAGTAAGGAGACAAATCGTTTCTCGACTAAATTCTGTGCAATGAACCTTATCTGATCACAAGCGACATTTGTAGAATACTTGTTTTGAAAACGAATAATTCAATAAAGACAATGTCAGTTTTTTCATACTATATGCCTTGATGGCGAATCAAAAGAATGCGTATTAGAAGTCATCGTATTATATATTATCGATACAGACTTTCAGTTTTTGACGATCGGTATCAATACCTGTATGAATAATTCAGACCGGCCGGTTCAATATCAGTATCGGTGACAGTTTCGTTTCTATAGTCATTCAATTGATTAAAGAATATGCACTTTAAAAATGAAAGATAATTACATTCATTCATTTTTTAAAATAAATTCACTGGTTTAAGTTCAACAAGTATTTCGAAGAAACTCAAAAATAAAGATCGGATATCATGGTCATTGAACAATCTATGGATGACTACTTGAAATAAAATCTGTACCGATATGGAACTGAACTAGACTAGATCAGCCAGTCGCCTTTACTGTTCCATATCTCCTTCCTAGCATCGTCAGGTAAGTAATTGCGTTTTGAAAGCTCTATGTTTCTTTATATAAAAACAATACATTACTAAAAATTGTATGGAAAATAGATGTGATTACCTTAATCACATTACATAACCTATAAAATCTTTTTTCCCGTTTCATCATTTTGAAATGAAGCTAGTAGAAGTTTGTCGACGACTAAATTCTGTATATGTTGACCAGAAAGTTCGTATCGTTTATTATTTGTCCAATTGAATCTTTGCAAAAGAAAGATTTTTGCCAAACTTTTACCACATCTTATTTTACTTTGATAGAATCAAGCATTTGAGATAATAATAAAAGAAAATTCAAAAAATATTCATAGTACTGAATAAAAAACATCAGTAACATACTTAAGTTGTCCAAGAATAGTTTTTGATGGTGAATACTAGAATAGCTGGGCATGTCAAATATTGTGTTTGCTTGATTAAATAATTTTTTTTACATTTTATGTTATGAATTTGTTTTTCAATTATGAGTGCGCGTGTATATAGAACAGCTCTTAATTTATTGTGAAGAATACATAATCATTTTTTTCTTTTTTTAAATCGCTTTTTTGATATCTTAACATATCCCAACAAAAATTTTAAATAAACAAGCTAGTTACAACAATGACATTCATATAATTCTTTTATTCAACGTCAAATCAATATAGCAGCCAATGTGGGGCATATCAAAAAAAACAATAATCAAAACAACAAAATTCGCAATTATGTTTGTTCTTTATCATTGAAACAATTTAACAAAACAAAACAAAACAAGTTTTAGAAATCATTTGTTTTCATATCATTGACCATCGTTAATTTTTCTAATCGTTGGAGATGCTAAAATAAAAGAACATGTTTCTAGTCACAAAAGAATGCGCTTGATAATAAAAAGACATATATATGTATATACGTATTGAATCTAAAAGTTTGAAGAACTACTGGTATTCCTTGGATTTTTAAAATACCTGCATCAATTCTTTAACAGCTTATACCATCTTCTAACCAGAACTGAACATAGAATACGATAGGAAAGGACACCAAACAGGACAAAAACAATACTGATTTTTGATTTTCGATCACCCAAGAACATATTCATTGAGGAATTAGTGTGTGGGTGCGAGGTTGTGGGTGAGAGAAGATGTTCATACTTACTTTCACCTTAGCTCTCAACACGTATCATGTATTAGTGATGATAGTATAGACTATGTGAAAATTGTAACAATATCAAATCAAATACAGGATCGAATTCTTCGTCCTGTTTAGTGTTCAGCTCTGCTTTTAACTATATCAGTAGAGATTCATAGCCTCGAGGAGTAAGTTCTAACTTTTAACTTAGTCAGTGTCATTGATCTCATACTCGCCCACATCTCTTCTGCTAATTTCCTTCTATACAGCTTCGCCCAGCATTCGACATATACTATGACTAAAGAACAACTGACTCAGATTACTGTTCGCTTCTGTAAATGCCACGAAAATATTCATTGCAAATTATTTAGTTTGTCTCATCTCTTGAACTAAACTCAAGCATTCTTTGTTAGAATCAGTTTATCCAATTATATGAGCAACTATAATTTGTATCAAATTCGAACTAATAATAATAAGTGATTGATTTAACTTACTATATGTTTGCTTTTGATCTTTACTTGTTGGATTCGATTTTTTTAATAATTTGCAAGATTTTATTTTTTATTTTTGACATTGGTTTATTTCTATTTAATATTTTGATTTTTTTAACTTTTACTTCTGCCATCGATTGATTCATACGATGTACATCAATAAGATGAGTTCTAAGAGATGATGGTGATAACCAACATCGATTTTGACATTCAACACGTAGTGGACAAAAAAAACTTCGTCGTGGATCAATAACCTGTAGATCATTCGGAATTAAACGTTTTGTAACTGGTATTTTCGAATAAACAGCTCTTGCAATAACATTAGCAATTGGTGTTAATAAACCATGATATTGACGCATATGACTACTTAAATCTGCAAAACATTTTTTCCGACATAAACGATGAAAATGATGTTCTTGATTGAGACCATAGGCACCATTCACCCATAGTGGACATTGACCAGCAAGTCGATGAATATGAATATTTGTATTCTAAAAAGAATAGAAAATATGCAAAGGATTACAAAACGTTCTTTTTACGATGCTATAATTATCATCATCAGTGGCAATAATTGTTGTACTACAATAGATAAATAAAAAACAAAAGTAGAATGTCTTTTTTTGTATGAACTATAATACTTTTCTGATTGGTTCCTTGCATTAGTACTTTCCATAGCTAAAAAAATACATGTATTAAATTGATATTAATAATAATGATCTACTTTTTCGTCGGTGATAATCAGTATCTATGATTAAACTGTTCAAATACAAACAATTCATATAGAGATAAAACATAAGAATAAACTAAAACTTACTTTTGTAATCGATCGAAGCCAATAAATAAAGATTCATCTTCTAAAAGATTTTGCTAAAAAATTCTGTTATATTAAAATAAAATTTATACTTTCTACATTCGTTGTCGATGATGAAATTTCTTCAATCGGTTCAACTTTAACAATAGCTAATAAAAGACATAAAATATAAAATATATTTTCAAAAACAAAAATTTTACTTAAAGAATCACCACCTGATTGTCTTTGTTTTTCGTTAATTGTTTGCTTTAATTTTTCAATTATTAATCGAAATTGTTCAATATCATTTGAATTATTTTCTAATAACGTATTAATTTCATTTACTAATTTTTTATAATCATCTAAGTTTTGTTCATATTCATGGCGAATTTTATCTTCATCAATTAATGATGAATAAATTGAATAAAGACGTTTAAGTTCTAATTGAACAATTTCTAATTGTCGTTTATTATTTTCAACTAAACGATCATGTTCAATCAAATGTTGAAGACAAATCATTTTCATACAATGATGAGCACAATCGAATAAACGAACAGCTTTTTCATTACATGATGGATCATCACATCGACCAAATTCTGGCATGATTAATGTTGCAAACTACTTAAATTACTGTTCGTTAAGAAAACTGGGAAAAAATGTTAAATAATAAATAGACGAAAAGAAAAAGACAATTACATCTATATGAACAGAACGAATGAAGTAACCAAATATTTGAAATTTCCAATAGGAGAATAAATAAAAATATTCTTTGATGTATCATATAAGCGAGAATTTTATTGCTTTAACTATTCAGTCTGAATAGTCGATATAATTAACATCAATACTTTATTATTATACAACGGATGGGCTCAGAATAAAATATCCGCTTTTGTTCTTTGTTTTTGAGGCACTTCACAGTGAGCCAAAGAGTTGGTTCTAGGCTTCTTCGATAGAAAATTCATTGCTCTAAAAAACTGTCGACTTTGTTTTTGAAATAAAATTTTCTGGTCGACACGAAAATTAAAAGATGAACACCTACTCAATCGTCCAACTGCAACGATAAAAAAATGATGACAAATTTTCAATAACAGTTCCACTGAGATTTCAAATATGGCGCAATGTTCTCCGTAAAATTCTGCGACTTTTGATGTATGTTTCAGAGTTTTAGAAAAAAAAAATCCTTTTTCGAACAGACCTTTGTTATTGTACTTTTTTAATCCGACATAACCTAAAAGTTTTTACTGTTGAATTGAACAGTCACACTGCTTTGTTCAGAATTGAATACTACATCTGATGACATGAGAATATATATTTTCAAATCATCGTCAAAGCGAAAAAAACTACTTTTCCCTAGGTAATTCGATGTGCTCTATGTAACCATGCATAGATATCGTGAGAAAAAATTTTGTAGAAATTTTGCATTTCCGGTACCTTATATTTTTCTTTGGTTCATTATTCTTGCATTCCTTTTCTTCAATATCTACATTGAACTTATTTACGTAGAAGTATTAGTAATATTTTTTTTTGTGTTATTTTTCATGAAAAAATAATTGATAAAGAAGATATAGAATTGAATATATATATATATATATATATGAATACAGAAATCCAAAAACGAATTTAATAGATAGCAAATGTAGACATTTGTTGTAGGTTATTAGTTATATATTGATAAGAAATTTAATTTAATTTCTGTTTTTTTTTATCAGATGTGGAAATTGTGTAAAAAATAAATTTAGTAAAGGAATTAGTTATTGGCAAACATGTAAAACTGAATTTAAAAAAGTGCATTTTGATATCATATAATGGAGGAGAGAGGTAAAGATCTTTAGCTTATATATTTCAACAATCTTTTTAAATCTTGTTACATAAAATAGATTGGATTAATATATTTTCGATTTTCTAGATCATTTTGATCATAATAAGTATTGTATCGCGCCATCTAATCTAGCATCCTATAATTAGTACGAAATGAAAGATTTAATTTTACAAAGATTGATGAATTATTTTCAGAGAATTTTCCTTAAATCATTAACTATTTGATGTCAAGTACTATTTACAGATAATCGACATTAGTTAGTTAATAGTCATTGTTGTTTAAAAAATAGTCAGCTAACTTTTTTTCTCAATACCTCTACATGAACAAATATTTCATAAGAATACGAAGCAAAAAAATTCAAAATAGAACCAAACCGAAATTGGAATCGGTTTGAAAAGCTGCAAATCGAATCATGATCGTCTGATATATATTTTTTTAAAATAATATATTCACTTTTAATAAGTGTTTAAGTCAATGGTTTTAAGAATAGATGGCAGTTTTCACATGAAAACTTACCATTTTTTTTTTACATATTTCAAGATATTTTTGGTAAAATGAAAATGACAAAATAGAATATTTGCATTTGGAAAAACTTTTCAGAAAGCATTAAACACTGATAATTCAAAATCGATTAATATAGATGTTGAACTAAAATCACATTATTTTTGTGTGTATATAACACTAATAAATGTAAAAATGTTAAGCTTGTTTGTTCAAATTTTATTGGGAAGTGCCGCAAACACTAAAGATTTCATAGAACATTGATCATGTCGATGTATTGTATACGTTTTGACAAACATTTTCGGAGCTATTCGAAATGTTCCATCTACATTCCATATATGACATTGTGCTGTTGCAAAAAAGATATATTTTATGTCAATGTTAGAAAATGTCATAAGTCCTGTCTCCAAAAAAATATAAAAAAGAAAAACGGTGAAAATCTACATATGACTTGGAACTGTAAGGATTGTCATCCTCGAAATAATTTTTTTTCGGTAAAATGATCTAATCTATTATTAAGATGAGCTCAATTTTAATAACCTTTCAAAAACGAGATGAACAAATTATATCAATAGAAACAAGCTTGGTGTCTAATACAATATATCAAAGTAAATAAATCGAAAAATGATAAGAAGAATATTTTATCACGAATATCGTCATTTTAATAATAGTCTTTCAGAGTTAGATTGGACAGCTTAAAGATAAGTGGTTTCAATTCGAATAAACTCATGATAAAAATATCTCATAATGATCTTTGATCATTATACAATGAGCTCTTTATTGTTAAATATAAATAGGATTTGTTGAGATTATTTTTAGACATATATTCCTTTTTGAAATCATAGTATAAAATTTATTCAAAAATGCAATATCGAAAAATTATTTTCATGTCTTTAAGTAAGAAATCAAAACGTACCAAGTTGTTTCAATACAGTAGTCGAAACAAAATCTAGAATGCGAGATGGTTTTGTCGTATCATAGACACACATATCTTCGCCATATAAATTTTTTATTAACTATATAGGCAAAATTATGTCATTTAATAATAGTGGAAGTTTTGGTAAAACGATAGCACGATTTCGATACAGACTTGATCTTAACACGTTGAAAATAGGTATTGACTCAACATATCCCATCTTTTGTCGCTAAATACAGAAATACGGTAATAAAAAATAAAATAAAATATCTATCTACATGATTAACAACTATTTAATTATAAATTTGAGTAATTAGTCTATTTAAATTATTTTGAACTACTTGATGCATTTCTTTAATAGTTTGAGTAACAGATAATGATCGTTGAACATTATCATGATTGTGAACTCCGCGAGCGGCTTGAATTTTACTTCTATTCATCGTCAAAGAATAAGAACATCGACGATTAGTACATACTCATCAAGATGTGCCATTTTTATTATTTTTTTGTAAATGAATAAAAGAGTACATCATTGTCGAATATATCTCTTGAAAAGTTTTCTTTTTTTGTTTTTAATTTAAAAAAGAAACAAAAAAAAAGCACTAGAAAACATGATAAATTTTTTAGAAAATAAGAAAAAGGATTTTATGATTGATATAAATTATGACATCTCGATTATTTATCGAGTCAAGCAAGTATTACTTATACTATGTTTCCAGGATATATCTATTTTTTTAAGCACTTACGAGTGTTACAATAAAAGAGAGCATCAATCAAAAGATATCTATTAATATAAGATAAAAATAAAAGACCAGTTGATAACATTTAATTATTTTTCCCTTAATTTTCTTCTTCATTTTTGTTATTCAATGTACTATTTTCGATCGAAATATCAGAAGATGCTAATGTGTTTCTAAGATTATTTGTATTCCTCAGTTGTGATATTAAATTGATTCAAAAAATCGATCATAAATTTATTTTACATTTATCTGAATCTTTATCATGAGTAACATCATCTTTAGCAACTGATACTCGCAGTTTGTCATGTTTTTTGGTGTTTATCAATTAAATTAGTACCCATTTGTCAATTTTGCATGAATATAAAAATTTCCTTAATGTATTTTTGCATTAACGCCAGAACTCTATAAGTAAATAATGAAATCACGAAATAATTGGTAATTCCAATATTAATAAAATATAATCTTTTACTCGTAATATTTGTGCAAGTTGTTTGGTTGTTATTCTTCGATATTGATAGGACAATGTCTTCTTGATGCTTGCATTAATTGTTGAATCCATCAAATTGACACACTAAAGATGATAAATTTGAAGAACAACTATAATTATTGAAAACATTATGTCTACTATTATTGTTTATATTAGAATAATTATTAATAAGTTCTGCATTTTGTTGTGTTATTAATATTTGTTGAGAAATAGAAGGACCAATATTATTTTATCGTGATGATAGAATAATAATTAATTGAAAACCATATAGAAGCTTTTTGATATCAACATAAAATTTCATCAGTTCAACAGCTGTTTGTGCTATTTCAAGTGAAATAGTTAGGTATTCAACTATATTTTGTTTGGTATTTTAGCGATCTGTTGAATTGAATCCGCTGTTATGTCATCAAAATCCAAGTATCTTAATTGTGATTCAGTCTATTAAAACTAAGAAGCTATAGAAACATTCATTTGATTTTTTTTACTTTCAGAACACAAATACAAGCCTGATGAAATAGATGTCATAAACCATAAATACGATATGAATGATCACGTGATTTAGAAAATAATGTACAAATAGTATCATCATGTCCTTGACACCCTATCATCACATTGTTGTACTCATCATGTGTACGTATTAATGTATCATTTGCTGCTTGAGAAATTTTTAATGTTGATGGTTCATCATGATGCATAAGATATATGAAATACATAATATGAGTAAGACTCGGATAATTACATGAATCAGTATTGTGTTCCTCAGCTACTTGATCAATTTCATGCTTAGTACATTTATGAACATCTTCTGGCGATATACATGCAGAAAATATGAACCTTTGAATAAATAAATCACAAGAAAATTAGAAAACATTATTCACCATAAATTTTACCATGCAAATAAACCATCTGCTTCTAGTTGTGAATTTTTTTCTTTTAAAATATTCATAATGGTATTAGGATGTGCAGCTGTAATAATAGACAACCACGGATTTTCACATTTAATATCATCTTTCACTAGATATCGAAAATAACATTTAGGTCCATTCCGCAGCGTATTTAAAACAGATCTATAATATGTAACTATATCTGCTCGATAAAGACTAAAACATGATACAAAAGTATTAAATTCATCGAAGGTCCTAATATATAACAATAGAAAGACAAAAAGGTTTATTTCTTCTTCAAATAGTACGTAGCTGGAAAGATAAGCAGATGCATTGACCAGCGATATCGGTTACAAGCATTTTTAAAATTTTCATAAAACCGTCGGTCCTAAATTTTTCCGTAAATTTCTTAAAAGTTTTAAGCTTAAAATATTTTAAAATAGCAAAGGAAGAAAACGATGATAGAAAACCTATTTATATGAAACCAAATGATAGTATTTCAAAAGACGAATTTGAAATATCGAAAATTTAAAAAAATTAAATATCCATTTTTGTGTCACCTTGGCAACATCAATCTACAACAAATATTTTGAACAATACCAATGACAGGCTTTAAAAATTTTTTAACCAGTGGTGGAGGTGACTCACTCGGTTGGCTTACACTCCTGTATGTATCTAACAAAGACTCGACCTAAAAAATCTTCATATAATACATTATATAATTAATAATCTTACTGAATAATGGATTTTTTTCTAGCTCATGTAACAAGCTTTCAACTGTAATCGAATTGTTAATGCAATTATGCTCAATTATTATTTGTAGATACAGTTCAATTTTCTTGCTTGCTTGCTCAACCTAACCAATTGATATTGACTTGTTAGAACCTCTACATATATAAAGAAAATATATTAAATTATTCAAATTAATTTTATATTTGACCATACCCGGATATTCAACAATAGCGTACCAAAAAAAAAAATTAACAGAATATTTCAATCCAAATCTAAATTCAAAACTGTTCGAGAACACCAATAAGCTATACCTGATAATACAACACCCATTAAATGCATAAAAGGCATCTTTTTAACATATGATATTGTCAAGTACGACTTTTATTTCGCCGGAAAAAAATATCATTATTCGACGTAACTTTTATACATTCAAACATGATTTAATGGCATTTATCACTTAACATTTTTTATTTGAAGAATAAAACTTTGAATACGTATTTTAACTATAATGCATTCTTCACTACCAATGATTAAGTTTGAACTAATTAGCGCCTTTCTTGATGAAATGTGTACTTCTGGTAATCAATATTCAAACAAAATGAATGTCAAATATTCTAGTATGAAGTGATAAAATTTCTAAAGAAGATGTCAATTCATAATTAATTCATAATATCATGAAAAACAAAGAGGCGCTATTGCAATCATATAATAGCTGTGCACATTTCTTTTAAATATTTATCAAACCTTGGATATTACAAAGATAGTAGCTGTATAAAAACTTTTAAAAGCAGCTCTTCAATCTTTTAAACAACTGTGATAATTTTTAACTAGCTATAATAATGCTCACATAGCTAAAATGATGTTTAAATAATGCTAGATTTTACATAGTTAGTTACATCAAACAGTGCTATAAACGAAAATTGTCAGCTACTCATTATCAACTAGCTAAGTATTCTCCTAAAAAAGTATCCCTTTTGTGAAGCTACCTATTATCCACCATATTTTTTTTTCTTTAATAGCGTTACTAGATGTACAAGGCCATCACGGCACGTGAGGTATGATCGACTCAAGTAAACAAAAACAAATCAACCATTATCATTTCATGAGACAAAAGTAATATATTGTGAAAGCATGATAGAATACTGCTTTATGTAAGCAAGCTTCTTGTGCACACATATGTAGATGTTTGAGATTGTTATTTAATAATTGAATTGACCTTGAATATCGAAGATAAACCTATTTCAAACTGAAATTCAACCGTCTTAAAAAAAAACTATTCGACGTTTTTTTTATCAGTTTTGCAGAGCAGAGTAATCATGAACCATCAGTATTTATTAAATCGTTTAATATTTCGATGAAACAGACAAGATCATGCAGTCGTATAAGTTCAGTCGAGAACTTGGCGCTACTGGAAGTTAAGAACTGTTACATGTTTTTCGACGAAAATTGCAAAACGAGATCACAAACACTTTGAACAATATGTAAACAATATCTATTCCGATTCTCTGTTTTCTTTTCAGGATTATTGAATTCCTTTTATGATGAGACGCGAGAAACTGATTATAAAACACATCGACTCATACAGTTCAGATATTAGATGATTGCTCTTTTTTTTTGCTTGGCTTCTATTTTGAGACTTTTCACTGACAAAGACAAAGAACTGAATTTCGTATGTTCATCATAAATCGATAATTACGTTCGAATATAAACGTCAATTCATTCTATTTAGTATACTTTTTGTCTCGTTTAATGACGTCACTAAACGCACAAGCCAATCATGATGTGTGAGACATGATCGATGCATATAAACAAAAACAAATCAACTATTATCGTTTCATGAAACAAAAATAATATTTTATCAAAGCATGACACAACATTGTTTCATGTAAACAAGCGTCTCGTGCAAACATATGTGGATGTCTGGAGTTACTATTTAAACGTCTGGTTCCAATGTAAAAAAATTTCCTCAATAATCCCCAAATAATCGATTAAAAATCGATTATAATAATACGATTCAAATCAATAATTTAAGCATCAATAATCGCAAAAAAAATCAGTACGAAATCTATTACTTTGATTAATTTGATTATGATCGATTTGAAATTGAGTAAAAGGTGGATTATAATCAAATTAACCAAAATAATCGATTTCATACTGATTTTTTTGCGATTATTTCTGCCTGAATTATTGCACTTAATTGTATCATTCTAATAGATTTCTAATCGATTATTCGTGATTATTGAAGATACTTTTTTTACATGGGTTGACTGTGGATGTCGAAGATACATTTATTTCAAATTGAAATTTAATCCTTTTTTTTAAGAAAATGATTCGATGCCTTTTTATCAGTTTTTTACAGCAGAGTAAACCTGAATCATCAGAAATTACTAAACCGTTTAATATTTATATGAAAGAGACAAAATTGTGTCATCTTTCACGTTTAGTCTATAATTCGATGCTACTAGAAGTTGACATGTGTTACATGTTTTTCGACGGAAATTGCACAACGATATTAGAAGTACTTTGAACAATATATAAACTATATCTACTGCGATGTTCTGTTCTCCTTTCAGGATTATTGGATATTTTTACGGTGAGACATCACAAATGGATTGTTAAATACACCGACTGATACAGTTCACATACGAGATGATTGCTCTTTTTTTTGCCTGGTTTCTGTTGTGAAATTTTTCACTGACCAAGATAGAGAAATGAACTTCATACATTCATCATAAATCTATAATTACGTTCGAATATAAACGTCATTTCATTCTATTCAATATATTTCTTTTCTTTAATAGCGTCACTAGATGTACAAGGCCATCACGGCACGTGAGGCATGATCGACTCAAGTAAACAAAAATAAATCAACCGTTACCTTTGCATAAGACAAAAGTAATATTTTGTGAAAGCATGATAAAATACTGCTTTATGTAAGCAAACTTCTCGTTCACACATACACAGATGTCTGCAATTGTGATTTAAGAATTGAATTGACCTTGGATGTCTAAGACAAATTTATTTCAAACTGAAATTTAGCTTTTTTGAAAAAAAATCATTTAACGTCTTTTTATCGGTGGGCTAGAGCAAAGTAAAGATGAAGTATCAGTAATGATTACGTTGTTTAATATTCTGGTGAAAGAAACAAGACTGTGAAATTGTACAAGTTCAATCTATAATATGGTGCTACTAGAAGTTGAGAACTGTTGCATCTTTGCCGACAAAAATTGAAAAAGGAGATAAGAAGCACGTTCAACAATATGCGAACTGTATGTGCTAAAATTTTCTGTTTTTCTTTTGGGGATTATTGAATTTTTTTTCGGTGAGACGTGAGAAATGGATTATAAAATACATCGACTGATGCAGTTCACATATGAGATGACTGCTCTGTGTTTTTTTGCTTGCTTTTTGTTTTGGGATTTTTCTGTCAGGGAGAGAGTGAAATGAACTTTGTACGTTGATCATAAGTCGATAATTACGTTTGAATATAAACGTCAATACATTCTATTTAGTATATGTTGTTCTTTTGTCCTTTACTGGTGTCACTAAATATAGAAAGCTATCACGAGATATGAGGCATGATCGATTCAAATAAACAAAAAATCAATCAACTGTTATTGTTTTATTAGACAGAAGTGATATTTTATCAAAACATGATAAAATACTGTTTTATGTAAACAAGCTTCTCGTTCAGGCATATGTAGATGTCTGGAATTGCTACTTAAACGTCCGGTTGGCCCCGGACATTGAAGACAGACTCTTCTCAAAACAAAATTTTGCGTTTTTCAAAAAAATATAATTCGATGTTTTTTTTATTAGTTTTGTAGAGCAGAGTGAATCTGAACCATCAGCATTGATTAAATCATTTGTTATTCCGATGAAACAGACAGGATCGTGCCATAGAACATGTTTAATCTGTACTTTGATGCTACTAAAAGTTGAGAACTGTTAGACGTATTTCGACAAAAATTGGAGAGATGAAAAGCACTTTGAACCATATGAGAATTATATCTACTGCGATTTTCTGTTTTCCTTTCAGGATTATTGGAATTTTTTGACGGTGAGACGTGAATAACAAATTGTAAAATAGATCGACTGATACAGTTCACATATGAGATGACTACTCTGTGTTTTTTTGCTTGCTTTTTGTTTTGAGATTTTTCTGTCAGGGAGAGAGTGAAATGAACTTTGTACGTTGATCATAAATCGATAATTACGTTCGAATATAAACGTCAATTCATTCTATTTAATGTATGTTGTTCTTTTGTCCTTTACTGGTGTCACTAAATATAGAAAGCTATCACGAGATATGAGACATGATCGATTCAAATAAACAAAAAATCAATCAACTATTATCGCTTCATGACAAGTAACATTTTATCAAAACATGATAAAAACACTGTTTTATGTAAACAAGCTTCTCGTTCATTCATACATAGATGTCTCGAATTGTGATTTAAGAAGTGAATTGGCTGTGGACGTCGAAGACAAATTTATTTTAAACCGAAACTTGGCCTTTTTATAAAAAAATGATTCGACGTTTTTCTATCAGTTTTGCAGAGCACAGTAATCATGAACCATAAGTATTCATAAAATGGTTTACTATTTTGATGAAACAGGCAAGATGATGCAGTCGTACAAGTTCAATCTATAGTTTAATGCTACTAGAAGTTGAGAAGTGTTACATATCTTTTGGATGAAAATTGCAAAACGAGATCACAAGCACTTTGAACAATATATAACCTCTACCTATCGCGATTTTTTGTTTTCCTTTCAGGATTATTGCACTTTTTTTTTCCGGTGAGACGTTAGAAATGGATTATAAAATACATCGACTGAAACAGTTCACATATGAGATGGTTGCTGTTGTTTTTTGCTTAGTTTCTGTTTTGAGATTTTTCAGTGACAAAGATAGTGAAATGAACTTTGTACGTTGATCATAAATCAATAATTACGTTCGAATATAAACGCCAATTCATTCTAGTCAGTGTATTTTTGTTCTTTAATAGCGTCACTAAATGTATGAACTAATCACGGCACGTGAGCCATGATCGATTCAGACAAAGAAGAACAAACCAATCATTATTGTTTCATGAAAAAAAAGTAACATTTTATCAACACATGATAAAATACTGTTTTATGTAAACAAGCTTCTCGTCCACATATATGTAGATGTTTGAAATTGCGATTTGAAAATTGAATTGACCATGGATGTCAAGGAAAACTTTATTTTACATTCATCTCATTGTGCATTAGAAAGTCTGATTACATTTTTCGCATGACTTTCGTGTAGGGAGCAATAAATGTTAGTGATCGGTAATTTTAACTTCGATATACATTTTGAGTCA